TTTTCATACTCGACAAATAGCCAATAAAATTTGCTATAAGAAACAGAAGGACACATCCGTCTAAAAAATTTGTCCGGATCGGCGTTCAGGCTAGAAAAAACGATAACCAAAAACAGTGCATTTTTAAGCTATTTATTGGCAGCAGTTACTCTAGCCTGAACGCTGATCCGAACAAAATTTTTAGAAGGATGGGTCCTTCTGTATCTTATAGTAAATTTTATTGGCTATTTGACGAGTATAAAATAAAATTACCAAACCTACCCTAAGGGGTCGAAAATATTTTTTGAAGTACTTTACCCCCATTTTCAGTTGAAAATCGAGGTTTGAGATCTCTGTGATAAAGATAGTTTTTGACATCGTTCTTTTACTATTTAGGATACCTATCGAGAGAACCGTTCACAGAAATTTTTGGGGAATTCTAGCTGCTGTCTAAGTGGGCTTTTTAAAAGTGGAGCTATCATTTTGACGCGGAGTGTATATGGCAATAGAACAAGCCTTTTATACTAAATTCACGGCATCTTTTTGGATTAAGAATTTATGATAATGAGGTAAACAAAATTATTATTTACAAAAAAAAAACAAAATTTTACTTCTCATTATTTAAATTATAAAAATAAATAATTAGAAAATTTTTTTTTATTTTCTAATAAACCACGCAAATACCAAGTCCTGACCACACAGAAATATTTTTTTTAAATATTTTTAAAAATATTTTTGAAAATTAATTAAAGAATAATTTAGTCAAGCATAAATATGCATAATTTCTTGCTGCTCATTAATATATTTTTTAAATAAATAATGGTCTAGTGAGGTAATTGAAATAATAAAGATGGGAGGGGTGGGCTGTACTTTCGCGCATTGTTTTGTCAAAAAATGATCGAAAAAATTTTAGGAGTATAGATGAGGGTAACACCCCAAACCTCTGGGATGCGAGTGTTCGAAATCGGGGGTTTGCCTAGGAAGACGTGTCATTGTTCTGGGGGTTTCAGGGACGAAAACAACAATGAAAATCTTGTTTAGCTTGTCAGAAGCTTAATGATGCCTGATAGTTGCGCTTTAATTTTAAAATAGAGTTGCACCCCGACCAGGGTTGGATGCAATTAAAGACCTCTTTGCGTCCAAGAGGATTACTATTCAATTGCAGACCCATACTCTCTTGACGAACGATTTTTTTACAATTATTCTCAACCCGAAACAATTTGAAAACCACGTACCCCTACACTTCCCCTCCAAAATGTTCAGGGTGCAACTCCTAGTTGCAAATACATATACTTAATGAAAATACTTATTAAAATAAAAATTTAAAGCATTAAAATTTTAATGAAAATATTATTTTATTAAAATTTAATTAATAAACTAATATTTTCGTACTTAATGTGAGAAAATTTTTTAGAATAAATATTTATTATAAATTGTTTTCTTAATTTTAATTTTTTTTTATTTATGTCTGAGAATATTCGCAATTTTTCAAAATATTTTTTAAAATTAAATTAATATTGGAAAATAATTATGGGAAGGAAAATTTTTTTCTGACCCTACTTTTTAATTTAAAAGGTTTTGTTAGTCTCGGTCAGTATCGTTTCTCGGTATCGGTCTCGGCTCAAAATGTTGGTATCGGTCTCGGTATCGGGTTCTTGAGTATCGGTCAATCTCGGTCTCGGGTTGGCCGATACCAGTATCGTTTTGATCAACTCTACTTTTAAATAAGGTTATAACTCTATTTTACGTACACTCCTATGACTGAAATTTTTATATATAAACCAGAAGTCTATTTAAATATAGGGTACATCAGAACTGGTCATGGATACAGATATAAAAATGCCTGCGGATATCCACCTGTATACGTCTGTATCGCAGTAAATATCCGGATACGGATACCAAAGTCAGTATCCGTGACTAGGTCTGGGGGTGCATATTCAATTGGGGGTTTTTGAAAATTTTTTTGGTATTTAATAACGAAATTTTCTACTAAAAGATGATGAAATAAATTTTTTAAACCAAATCTTTGTTTCTTAAGCTCATCAAGAAGCGTTTTAAATATACAAATGTATAAAAAATTTTTTATTTCACAGCGTAAATTAAATAAAAATTATTGCTTTAAATTTTCAAGAAGCAATTATAAATGTTATAATTATCCATTTATGTCAACGTTTAATAAAATAAATAATTGGTATATATATATATTAGTGTTGGACGGGAGTTAAAAAAGCCGAGAATCAAGGGAAATCCCGACTCGGGAAATTCCGAAGAAAATCCCGACTCGGGAACCGAGACCAAGTCTCGAACATCACTAATGCCTGTTTTAAAATCTCACTAAAATTAAATTCTGACGCCGACATATACTTAATTTTAATTGTTTCAAGTAGTGTGGTTCAATTTATATAATTTAAAAGTGCAGTTTTTAATTTAACAATTTATTCGGTATACGAGATTCTCTCTCTCGGTATACGAGATTCTACGTATACCGAGTTTTGTGTACTTTTTAATTTACGTTTAATTAATAAGAATTAGAGACCGGCAAAATCGCACTTCCCGGATCTCGAATCGGGATTTTTTTCTTGACTGATGCCGGGACGGGATCCTGAGGGATAAATCCCGAAAAAATCCCGGATCCCGGTTGATCCCGAAAATCAAAAAAATCCGGGATTTCGGGATCGGGATCCAGGAAAATCCTGTCGGGATCCCGTCCCGCGCCGGTCTCTAATAAGAATGTGTAAATTATATAAAAGAGTTTTCTTGTTAAAGAAAAATAATTTGTTAGATTAAAAAACACTCTCGAAGGAAATATTAATTTTCCTTATTTTTACATTTATTTAAAGCATATTCAAGCAAACTATTTTTTCTTTTATTGTTCATTCTCTCCCTTTAAAATAAATTAAACAGAGAATGATAATAATTTGAAAAGCAAAAATCCAAATTTTTTATTTTCTTAACTATTTAAAATTTATGTAATTTCGTAAAATAATTAAAAATAATCAAGAATTATCTAGCAAATTTTGGATTTTTGAAAGGATATTCTCCAAAACTTATTAAAGTAGAAAACATAAAGAAGGTCTTCACTCAATGAAGACAATTATAGGCACTGGTTTTTCTTTTTTCATATTCAATATCAATTACTTCCAAAGTTTATTTTTTCGTTTCGTGTTTCGTTTCGTGTTTCGTTTTTTCGTTTCGTGTTTCGTTTTAATATAATTTTTTCAATTTCGTTTCGTATTTTTTAAAATATTTTCGTTTTGTTGATTTCAAGAATTAATTGAAATTATATGTTAATTTCATTAATTTTTATTTTAATTCCTACTTTTTACTTATTTTAATTAAAAAATATCAGTAAAATTACCCCAAAATTTAATTTATTTAAATAAATATTTATATAAAAAATGTTTACTAAAATTTTTCTTATCTTGATTAGTTAATCTTCTCATTTTTTACTTTTTTATTTGTAAATACAAACAAGAAAATGGTCAAAACTGTCACGTAAAGCAATCTAGAGCGATTGGGAATTGAAAAAATGGTTGGTAGAAATAAGCGAAATATAAGGGAAAATGAAGAGACGGTTAGAGAAAAGTTAGAGGTTAGAGAAAAAAATAGAGAAATTAAGGGAAAGTGCTGATAATTAAAAACAGGGGAGAAATGGAGTAAAACTGAAAATAAAAAATAATTTTTACAGATTTGAGCAAACTGAAAAAAATTTTTTACTGATAAGCCGAGAAAACGAAAACGTAAAAAATTATGTGTATTTCGACGAAAAAATAATTTTTATTTTGTGTTAATTTAATTTTTAGTTTATTTGTGGTCTTAGATAAAATTTTGTTTTATTTTTGTTTTCAAAGCAATTTTTGTTCTCATATTTTTTGGCCAAATAATAAAATAACCATTAATTATTAATTAAGAAATACAAGTCAGCAAAACCCCTCCTCAAGGGATACACACTGTGGGAGCATAAAATAAACCTTATAATGAGGTGTTTATTAAATTGGGGCAGCATCTCCCCCGCAGTTCCCCTCTAATTAAGCAGCTCACCAGCCCAATGACGCGTTTATTAGATAGAGGTTTTTCTTGTATTGGGGGTCTTTTAGGAAGAGGTTTGACCTTATAGTGAGTGATACGTTAAATAGAGGGGAACTTAAATAAGGAGCTCCCCCTCCGAGTGACAACCGGCTTTAAAACACATTTCTAAAGAGAGATGTATCTTGTATCTCATTATGCTTTACAGAGCTGTTGGGGGTGATGACTAAGCTTTCTCACTTAACCGATCATCAACCCCCGCTTAATCATTTTAATTGCTGCCAGATGAATCATCCCTTCATTTATTTATGTCAGTCGATTAGGCCAACATTCCATTTTTCATTATTGTCATCCTTATTCGATTAAAATCATCGTCTGTGGCTGATAAATAATTTTCCTTTAATTTTTTAATTTAGAAAATTTTTTTTTAAAAACTAAAATGGCGAAAATGACTCTTTTCGCAAATGTCTTTGTGCCAACTCCTAATTTTAGATAAACCTCCATTTAATTTACACGTTTTTCAAACTGCTTGGTCATTGGATGGTGGCGTTTCTAAAAAATACCCCCTGTTTAGGATACGCTCATTATAAGAATTTTCTCCCTCCTCCCCCCCATACCACTACTAAATACACCTCTATTTAATAGACGCTTTTTAAAGATACATATTTCAAACTGGTTGAGTACTGGGTACAAGAGCCTCCAGAAAAATACTCTCTATCTAACGTACATCTCATTATAAGGTAACATTCCTAAGGGGACTTGTTTCAAGCTGGTTTATCACTGGGTTAGGGAGCTTCCAGAGATTTACTCTCCATTTAACATACACTTTAGTATAGAGAGAGACAATTTTTCTATCCTTAAGAGACTTTAGAAAAAGTTCCCGGCCGTATATTAATTTTACTATTGCCAGTCATCTTTACTTGTTTAAACAATTTATCAAGTCTGTGACTGATAAAAAATTTTTTCTTTAAATTTTTTAAATTTTAGTAAATTTATTTTACTAGCCATAAAATGCTAGTACATAAATGCCTTAAACGATTTATTTTTTTAATTTTATTTTTAATCTCGTTATCGTCCCTAAACAGGTAATTAAACTTGAAAATTTAAAAATTTTTATTTTTTAAATTTTTATTAAAGTGCAACACGCACTGAACGTGAAGGGATTAATGGGCAAGATGTTGGCGTTAATATTGAGGTGAATTTGAAAAAATTTTTTTTAAATCAAGACGACTTTACTTGAGTTTAATAAATTTTGAAGAAGGAAAAAATATAATATACCGTATACCTAGTTTTCTCTCATTTATCAAAAAAATATTAAAAGTATCCCTCTTCTCCTTAAATAAACACCTTGTGACATTTGAGTTCATTAGACATTTGAGTACAAAACAAGCTAAAACTGGAGGTCGAACTGAGAGGTTGTACGAGAATCGAGATCGATATCTCGAAAGAAATCTCGTTCTCGATATCCGAGATCTAATCTCGGTCCAGGCTTTAGTTAAGGCTGCTGAAGTTCGACAGCCGTCAAGGTTACTGGGGCAGAACATTTTTTACTGGGGCAGAACAACACATAAATAGAGAAGAAGGCCGCCCAGCTCGCCTAGCATTTTATTATATGGAGTAATGTACCCCAGTCAATTCAAAGCTTTATTTAAATAAAAAATTAGGGAGTTTCCTCAAATGTCGCCTTTAAAAATTCAATACTAACGGCTAAATACTAATAATCCAGACCTTAAGCAAAAAATCCCTAACTTGAAGCAAAAATTTTTTATAATTTCAAGTGGCTAACAGACGATCAACTGAGCGAATTGAGCGAAACAGAAGGCCGCCCAGCTCGCCTAGTTAAGCTTAAACAATTTTATGACGCATTGGAAGACAGCAAAGCCAAGACTGAAGCAACGAACAAAATTGTAGAACAGTGCTATGATTGGTTAAGTGAAGTGGTTAGTGAGGAAGAGAAGAGTGAACTTGAACAGTTGCATGAAGCAAATCATGAGGAATGCCACAAAAAAGTCCATGAATACTTAAACAGATTGGGGGAAGACAAAAGGGGGCAAATCGAGGAGAAACTTCCCTTCTGTGAACATGTTTGGTATGGGCAGGCACATAAGCATGAGCATCCGGAAAATAATTCCGGAAAGGAAGAAGATAAAACTGAAGCAAAGGAAGAGAATAAAGTAGAAGAGAAAAAGGAAGAGGAGCATCATGAACACCATCATGCTAAGAAGCGATGGGTAATATTTTTATCTTTTGAAGCATTCTGCTTCAGAAGCATTTTTTGCTTCATTTTTCCTTTATGTTTGCTTCAACTTCTTTCCTTAAGTTCACTATTAAATTTTGCTTCAGAAGCATTTTTGCTTCATTTTTGTTTGTTTCATATTTTGCTTCATTTTTGTTTGCGTCATATTTTGCTTCAGTTCTCACTTGATTTTTGCTTCAGATATTAGCTTCATGCTTTGCTTCATTTTTCTGTATCAATATTTAATTTTTGCTTCAGCTTCATGTTTTGCTTCATTTCCATGCTTCATTATTAAATATTTGCTTCAGTTTTTGTTTTGCTTCATTCTCTTGCTTCATTATTAACTTTTTATTTCAACTTTCTGTTTGCTTCATATTACTGCCTCAGTATAAAAATTTTGTTTCAGTTTCCTGTTTTGCTTCATTTTCCTGGTCATTGTTAAAATTTTGCTTCAGCTTTATATTTTGCTTCATTTTCCTTGTTCATTGTTAAAATTTTTGCTTCAGCTTTATATTTTGCTTCATTTTCCTTGTTCATTGTTAAAATTTTTGCTTCAGCTTCACTTTTTACTAAGATTTTATTCATTTATGCTTCCTTCTCAGGTTCATCGTCATCGTCGCGACCACGATCATTTTGCCCATGATGATGGAGTCCACGAGCATCACGAACTCGAAGACTATTTACGCACACATCTCTCCTGGTTAACAGACGAACAAAAAGCTGAGATGCGTTCTCTCAAAGCGGAGGGTGCCGGAAAAGAATCTTTACGTTCAAAAGCAATGCAATATCTCGAACAGAGTACAGGAGAACAAAGAAATGAAGCAATAAAACAATTGGTTAGTGGATGTAGAGAATTGTTGCGTAGATTGTTTGGAGCTGAAGCAGCTGAAGAATTGAAGCAAATGAGGGAGAGTGGAACGACTTATGAGGAACTGGAAGTAAAAATTGGGAAATTGACTGAGGCTTTGGATGATGAAGGGAAAAGACAAAAGGTGTGTTATGAAATGATTTTTCTTTCACAAAACTCATAATTTTACGAAACTCGAAATTTCGAGAAATTTCACGAAACTCGAAATTTCGAGAAATTTCACTAAACTCAAAATTTCGAGGAATTTCACGAAACTCGAAATTTCGAAAAATTTCACGAAACTCGAAATTTCGAGAAATTTCACGAAACTCGAAATTTCGAGAAAATTTTCAACGAATTTTTTATCAAAATTTCAGGCTCGAGATTATGGCCCAGCATGTAAACGAATATTTGCTTTGAGCATGGCGGTACCCCCAACATCTTCTCGCCGTCGTAGAGAATGTGCTCAATGTTCTGAACGTTTAAAACATGCAATAAAAACACACCTTTCTTGGCTCAGCGATGAACAAAAGGCTGAATTAAAAGCTGATGAGATTGCAGGGAAGACGAGGGAAGAAACGAAAGAAAAAGTAATGAAATGGTTTGAAGCTATTGGTGATGAATCTGAAAAGGAAAAGGCTAGAGAATTGATGAAGGGTGGATGTCGGGAAATGATTAAGGAGGTGAGTCATAAGAAATGAAAAATTATTATCCTTTCAAAGTCGAAATTTCGTGAAATTTCAAAAACGAAATTCTATGAATTTTCGAAACACGAAATTCCATGAAACACGAAATTCTATGAATTTTTCGAAACACGAAATTTCATAAACGCGAAATTCTATAAATTTTCGAACCGCGAAATTCTACGAAACGCGAAATTTTAAAGAATTTTCGAAACACGAAATTACACGAAACGCGAAATTTTAAGGAATATTCTAAACACGAAATTCCATAAACATATTTAACAATTAAGGGAATTCGAAATTTTCTTAAAATATTTCACGAAATTTCGCGAATTTAAATGCTCTGTTACGAAAAATTACAAATCGACGAGGAATTTGATTTTAAATTTCCAGATTCTTGGAGAGGAAGCAGCATCCAAGATAAAGCAAATGAAAGAAAGTGGAGCTACACCTGAAGCATTAACAGCAGAAGTAGATAAACTTATGGGAGAGATTACAGATGAAAAGAAGAAGGAAACGGCTGCATTATACTCTTCTGCATGTAAACAAGTATTTGGAATTAAGGCTTCGAGAAAACGACGTGATCATCATCATGGGCATGGAGGAGGGCACACTTTAGAGGATTACTTCAAAACTCATTTAAGTTGGTTGGATGATGGACAAAGAGAAAATCTTAAGACAATGAAAGGGGAGGGAAAGACAAGGGAGGAAATGCAGAAGCAGGTAAATTGAATCATTAAGAAAGTTGAGGGGTATCCGAAGATTTCCCAGAACCAGGGAAACTTTGTCTAGAAAACGATAGTTGTTATAGACCTCCTGTTTTTCTTCCTAACTAATATTGACATGGAGACTTAGGGTCTTAAATAAACCCAAAAATAGCAAAAGATTGGATGGGACTTGATCCTGAAACTCCCCAATGCAAAGATGTTAACCCCCCAAACCAGGGTTGCACGCAATTGAAAAAAATTCCGCAAGCGTAATCCGCAATTTTAATTTTAAAATCCGCAATCTGGGGATATAAGTGATAATCTGGCGATATAAGGGGATTAGAGGGATTAAATGTGGTTTTAAGGGATATCTGCAATTGCGTGTATCCCTGCTCCAAACATCCCCCACAGACTGATCGTTTTCATTTCTGCTTTATTTACTAGTCTGAGAGGAAACTTAGACAAAATTAGCTGAACTATATATGTATTTAATAAATTTTAATCTCTAAGGTAATGGAATGGTTCAACAAACTGGAAGGGGAACCAAAAACGAAAGCATTAGAATTAATGCAGACTGGATGTCGAGAACTTTTAAAAATAATACTTGGGGAGGACAAAGCTATAGAAGTTAAAAACATGAAAGAAGCTGGAACTGATATAAATTTAATAAGTAATAAAATAAATGAATGGATTAATGAATTGAGTGAATCTAGCCATTTACGAAAATTGGCAGAAGAATACAAACCTGTTTGTAGACAACTTTTTGGGGTAGGAGAGGAGAAGAAAGCTACAGGAAGGAAACGAAGAGATCATCATCATGGACATGGAGGAGGACATACTTTAGAAGATTACTTCAAAACTCATTTAAGTTGGTTGGATGATGGGCAAAAGGAGAATCTTAAAACAATGAAAGGAGAGGGAAAGACGAGGGAGGAAATGCAGAAGAAGGTAAATTTAATTATTAGAAAATTAGGGAGATTAGGATTCTGAATGAGAGAATTTACTGATTTATAAAGGAGCTGTCAAAGATTCATTTCGTATAATGCCATAAAAGTGTGATATTCTAATATACCGTATTTTTTCTTATAGTGCGACTGTCTCTATTAGACCGACCCTTCTAATAATCCGACCCTCTAGAGGAAGGTTGAAAAATAAAACGACCGGTCGCACTATTAGAAGAAATACGGTAGTTCAGTCAAAGTAGAGGAATTATTATCGAAGTATCTGATATATCAGAGGTACAAAAGCGGAGTCGACATTATTAGGCTCAGGAATAGAGTTGGATCTTGATGTCATTCAGTTCGGATATTAGTTCCGGATCGTCGGTGATTCCCTAGCTCCTCCAACCCCATTCATGATTTAAGATAAGGCAAAAAAATAATTATTAGTCGATTAGGCAATACCTAGATGAATATTCCGTGAATTAATAATTAAAATTAGAGATCGACCTAAATGAGATTTGGAGAAAAATATCGGTTATCGGCACCTATATTTCTCGAGATATCGTCCCTGTCTCTACGACACTTCCAGTTCGATCTCTAATTAATACTCGATCATAAATTCTTAAACTTCAAGGTTATGGAATGGTTCAACAAATTGGAAGGGGAACCAAAAACGAAAGCATTAGAATTAATGCAGACTGGATGTCGAGAACTTTTAAAAATAATACTTGGGGAGGACAAAGCTATTGAAGTTAAAAACATGAAAGAAGCTGGAACTGATTTAAATTTAATAAGTAATAAAATAAATGAATGGATTAATGAATTGAGTGAATCTAGCCATTTACGAAAATTGGCAGAAGAATACAAACCTGTTTGTAGTCAAATTTTTGGGGTTGGAGAAAAATCTGTGAGCAGAAAGAGGCGATCTTGGAAGGATATTTATGGGAAGAAGAAGTTAAATAATAGAAGAAACGACGATGAAGAGGAGGGAGAGGATGAAGGATACTCAAACCCGAGAGTGTCTAATATTGAAGATAATGAAGAACAAACACAGACGGATATTGGGTTAGTTTTTTGGAATTGTGAAAGGTTAAGGCTTCCTTCCAATTCTATGAATATTTTTCCTTTTTAGACTGTGATTTCTTAACTTAAAAAGGTATCTAAAAACGAAATCAGCCAATAAGATACCTTAACTCGCGTAAAGTTTCTAATAGAATACCGAGTCACTTTCAAAAGGGGTATTCTATTAGTGAAGGTTAGAACAGTTAGATCCGGAACCAATATTTTAAAATAGGATAGAGTCATACCCATAAAACGGCCGATACCAGCACTGTTGATAGCTTAAGGATTCTAACAGGATATATGATTTTAGTTATGCTCATGTAAAATTTAAAAAAATAATTTAAAGAGATGACGGTGAAGACCATGATTTTGGCGATGAACACTTAAATGCACACAAAAAATGGCTCACTTCAAGTCAGAAGCGTCATATAAAAAGAATGAAAGATAAGGGACACGAGGACCATGAGATACATGATAAAATAAATGAATTTCATGAAACTTCGCCTGAGGAAGTTAAGGTGAGCTTACCTATGTTTTTTATTAGAGAGATTTATATCAGAAATGCAAACCAATATGTTCGCCTTAAATAACGAAATGAGCAAACACTTTCTTTTACGAAACACGAAACGAAAAATATACGAACCGAAATTTTAAACGAAACACGAAACAAACACAAAACAAAATTTTAATCGAAACACGAAACAAACCCAAAACGAAATCTTAATCGAAACACGAAACAAACACAAAACGAAATTTCGAATTCGAAACACGAAATAAACCCAAAACGAAATTTCGAATTCGCAAATTAATTTCGTAAACTATTTTTCAGAGAACAGCACAAGGCATTCTCAAAAGAGGATGTGAGTCTGTATTTCAACGCTTATTCGGAGAATATATTGCTGACGAAATTATCCAAGCACGTGAACAGGGAGCTTCTACGGCCGAACTTGACGAGAAAATAAACACAGCTTTAGGGCATATTAAAAATGCGAAGAAGAGGAGAGAGGCGACCCGTTTCGCTGCTACATGCCGTCGAATATTTACTATGGTGGGGCTTAATTAATTTTTGATTTAACCCCCAAAAATTTTGCTTAGATTGAGCGACGTCGCAGATCTGCTACCCCAATTGAGGAACGAACTTTGGAGGAACTTTTCTCTTCTCATTTAAGTTGGCTAACTGAAGCACAACAAGAGGAATTGAGGAGGATTAGGGATGAAGGCTTAGGGCGAACTGAAATGCAAGAACGTGTGGTCGAGTGGTTGGGGGAGCTGTTAGGAAATGAACGGGCAAACGCTATGGAACAGTTAAGAGAAGGGTGAGATTCTGATTTTTAAAATTCTGATTCTGAACATTTTAGTTTAGCTATGATTTTTCTAAAATTCTGATTTTTAAGATTCTAATTTTAATTTTGATCTCTCTAGAATTTTGAGCAGTACATAATTCAGATCTCTAAAATTCTGATTTTAAAATTCTGATTTCACTAAAATTCTGATTTCCAAAATTCTGATTTCCAAAATTCTGATTCTGATTTTTAAAATTCTGATTTTGATTCTGATCTCACTAAAATTCTGATTTTTACAAAATTCTGATTTTTAAAATTCTGATTTTGATTCTGATCTCACTAAAATTCTGATTTTTACAAAATTCTGATTTTTAAAATTCTGATTTTGATTCTGATCTCACTAAAATTCTGATTTTTACAAAATTCTGATTTTTAAAATTCTGATTTCTCTGGTTCTGATATTCTAAAATTCTAATTTTTATGTTTTGATCATTCCTGAATTCTGATAAATTCTGATTTTAAATTCTGATTTATGTTTTATCATTATATTAAGCTAAATTCTGTTTTTCACTTTAATTCTGATTTTCAAGTTTATTTTTTTAACTCGATTTAATCTCTAGTTGCACTCTGCTTCTCTTCCAAGTTTATGGAACCGATAAGGCCAACGACCTAATAAAGCTGAAAAATCAAGGCGCTCCAAAACACGAAATAGCCTTACGCCTACTTGACGAAGAACAGAAGCATTCTAAAGCTTTTGGGCCAGTTTGCAGACATTTCTTTATTGAGGGGAATTATTAAAAATTAATCAGCTTTTAGTAAAAGCATTTTTAAATTAAATATTGATTTCAACTAATTTTTTAAAATTAAATTTTAAATTTTTTTAAATATATTTTTACCACACTTTTAATTTTTATTTATGACTTCTATAAAATTTTTGAATATGAAAGGATCGGGATTTTGACGGTTTTCGGAAGACCCATCCAAAATGTTAGCAAATGATGGGATTTTATATGAAAGCTTTCCAATCCGAGGAGGTTAATTCTCCAACAACCTCTTCTGACTGATCGTTTCATTTTTACATTTTTGCTAGGCTGTGAGATAAATTTTCAAACGTTACAATATTAGAATTCAAGCTTAGGGTGTATGTTAGCCCAATTATACACGCGAATCCAGAGGTACTTCGAAAACACGAAATTTCGAAAAATCTCTGTTCACACCCACAATTATATCCTACTCTAAGTTTAATTCGAAAAATCATATCTCTATTTTAGGCGTCTAAATCCCGATCCTTTTTATTTTTTAAATAAAATCTGATGCTTGATAAGTTACCGCTAAATAATGTCTTAAAATACCACATTCCTGAATTGCTCAAATTGTGTTAAAAAATATTTTTTAAGTGAATAAATTTATTTTTAGCCATAATTTTAAAGATATTTTGTTAAAAAATAAGAAAACAAATTACGTCAAATTTAATATATTAATGGTTAGAGACTGAGAAACATGGACGAGACACGTATCGATATCTCGAAAATGGCTGTCTCACATGATCAAAGCTCCTTTAATATTGTTATTTAGCCCCGCTAGTAAGCCAGTATGATTTTTTCTTATACAAGTAGAGATCAACAGCTTACGTGCCGCTAAATTGAAGGAGTGTTAAATCAGAAGAGATTTGATTTTGATAAAGATAAAATTTTCTTTTAATATTAAATAAAAAATAAAAGCAAACAGCTGGTCAATGTTTTTTATCATAAGTAATTAAATAATTTTAACAATAAAATTTTTTTCAATTTTATTGTTTGTAAATAAAAACAAAAATGAAAATTTTACTAAAAATTTCTATAAAAAATAAAATGAGCTAAAAGATGTAAAATTATGTGGAGAAGATACTAACGTATGCTCACATTCATTTTAAAGTAGGGTCCCCGAGCTTTCGGGGTCGGAAGTGCCGGGGGTCGAGGTACGGAAGAGTGGGAGCTACCACACTTTAAGGCATAACTAAACATAAAGATGTCATGGAATTTTGATTCTGGTAGCATTCGATGAAACTCGAATAGATACATCAAATCATGACTAAATTTACAAAATTCAAAGTTTATAAGCGGAGTTACAAGCTTTGAGGGAGAGCGATTAAAGCAACAAATTTTAGGGATGTGTGGTAAATGTCCAGCTGTCCAGCTCGTCATTCAAGATGTCCGCAAATGCTTCCTGCAAGATCTTTTGTGTCTGCATTCTCCTTTGTTCTCCCTACCATAATTTTCCTTAGGTTATCAACCAGACTAGGACACGGATACTGATCTTGGTATCCGTATCCGCAGGCATTTTGATATTATCTGTATCCATATCCGTATCCATGACCATGCCTGTAATCAACTGATAAGGTGATAGTTTTGCACAAATAAGAAAGGAAGCAAACATGTTTATGAACCCATTCTAAAATCAACAAAGTTTATGGGAGAAAGCTAGAAGAATAATTAAAATAAATAATTTAAGAAGATAAGAAGGAAAGGACAAAATTTAATTTAAACAATATTTTAACATTTAAGACTATTTTATTCTGATAAGCTTCAAAAATATAAACAAAAATGAAACAATTGGGCGCAGACTGTGGACAAAATTTGTCCATAGATTTTAATATATAAGAACGCCGTTGAAAAATTTTTTTGGAATTTTTTGACTTATTTTAACCCAAAAATTTTATCAAAATGTTTATAAATTATCTTTTTTGTTCATTAATATTTTTTAATTTGATTGCAATATTGCTTTGTTCAAATGACTTGAACAAGTAGAAAATAAATTTAATAGTTAAATTTTGTAAGATACTAAAAGGCTAACAGTTAAAATGATTAGGAGAATAAAGTGCCCACAACCTCCATTCCATAAAATAAAAAAACGTTACATGGGAAATGATCCTTAGAGTTATCCGATGCAAAGGTTAGCTGCTCAACATCCTATCACCAAACTTGTTTTAATTGTAAAATAAAAGCCCTACGATATTTTTTCGATATTTTTAGATATTTTTCGACATATATTTTTCGATACTATCGAAAAAATACCGACCGACCCTCCGTCCGGACTCTATTAAAAGGAGAGATGGCCTTTAAGAAAAAGAGCTGGATCATCATCCAAGGATCATCATCAGTAGGATTTTTACAAGAGAAGGATCAAGAAGGAGAGCTTAGGAGTCAAGGAGAAAGTTGGGATTAATAGACAGGGTATTCTAACTTCTAAAAGAGAAAGTATCTACAGTTATTGCCTTTGTAGACCATCTAAATGCGATACTACCAAACCCCAATCCACTTGATTTAGGAAACAAATTTTTCAAACCCCGTATCTAAATCATTTTTATAAAGCTATGGACAAGAAGCAGAATTAAAAGATACCAGGAACTCAGTATTTGGAATTCAGCAACAGCTTTCAAGAAGGCGGAGATACATTAATGAAGACGAATATAAAAAAAAGAAAAATGAGAGAAAGTTTGATCGAAATTTTAAAAATACATTCAATTTGGTTAAGCGAAGGACAGATGATAGAATTAAGAGAAGATTTGAAAAATGGAAAATCATTGGATGAAGAATTATACGAAAAAGTTTCTCAATGGTTTAATCAATTGAAGTATACATATACTGAATGGTCTGAAACAGCGAAAGGCATTTCTTACAGATGCCTTATCAATTCGTGGAAGGTAAAAGAGATATAATGGTCATATTACAAGGGTTTAGCAAAGGTTATACAATAAGGGTTATCGTTAAGTATATATGGTACCTATATGAAATAAGGCTGTCGGATCCCGATATCCGGATCCGAAAAGGCCGGATATTCGGAAATTTTTGTTTCGGATACCAGATCAGAAGATTTTCAACTATCCGACAAGTTTAATATGAAAGTAACTACCTATTGAACCGAATAACATATTATGTTAACCGTCATTAAGCGGAATAAAATTTAGAATCCGAAGGCAAAGCAATGAAACCAACAACTGATAGAACAAAGTACCCATTAAACTATACCTGGGCCTGATTTGTATACCAACTATCCCTAAGCTAAACTTAAAGTTTCGAGTGAAAAAATTGGAAATTTCACCCAGGGTTGAAACAACCTAGCGATGAGCCGTGAGGAGAATATTTAGGAAAAGTTTCTCCAAAAAACAAGTAATCTGAATCTCTTTTTAAGAACTTGAAAGATGTTTTCCAAAGAGCTGATATAGGTTTAATGGCAACTGTAACATTAAACGATACCGATGCTGAATGCAATTACTTCAGAAGTGACCTTGAAAAACTAGCAGAAATTGTTGATAATAAAAGGACAAGAAACGATATTGTTGAAAAATATTGTGATTTACGAAAAAATAATGCGATGAAAAGATATAAGAGAGAGAGTAAAGGAGGAGGTACAAATAGTGAAAATAATCTAGAATATTATTTCGAAATACTAAACTTGAATTGGTTGGATGATCAGCAACGTAAATGTCTTAAAAATATGTCGACTGAAGGAACACGTCTAACAATGCGAGATGCGGTAATTTGAAAATATTTGTAAAATTATGTGAAGCATATAGTTATTTAATTTCTAAGGCTGTGCAGTAGGCTGCGTGGTGTAATGGATAACACATCAGTCCGGTGTACTGAAGATGCTGGTTCGCATCCAGCCGCCTATTAACCTTTTGCACTAGCTAAAGGAGAGAAATAACTAAAGCAGCTGTTTTAGCACCGGATGGTTCAGATAATGCGATCCATCCCATAGGCCCAAAGTTAGAAAAACATTAATTTCATCATCAAAATGGTAAGGAAATGGCTCACCTCTTAGTATAATACTAGTTGACCATTATTAACCCCGAGTAATTTTACTGAGAATAAAATAGAGAAAGATGTCAGAATTACAAGATTCTTTTATTTAAAGGTAGTAAACTGGTTTAATCATTTACAACCTGAGGCAAAAGAGAGAGCTGCCAATCTTTTCAAAGGTGGATGTAATAAACTTCTAAAAATAAGACAAGATGGATGTGGATACTTTGGTTCGTTAGATACACAAAAAATCGACGAGCTCAAAAACTACGATGACTTGACAACGTTTAGCAAAATAAAAGAATTAATAGATCCATTGCAAGAAAAAGTCGAACTCAGACAAATTGCCAATGAGTATAGTCAATCTTGTAGAGAACTTTTTGATATTGGAGAGGAGGAGGGGGAGAGTTGGTATATTGGAGTTGGAAGAAAAAGGCGATCTTATAACAGAAGAGACTCGAGGCCTGAACAAGAAAGTGGAGAGGAAAGTGGCGAAGAAGACAATCGTGATTATAACTCGAGTGTGCTTAATGTTGAAGCAAACAATAATGAACAGAGTGGAACAGAGTTAGTTTCTATAAAATTATAAAATAGGGTGTTATTGAAACATGGACGAGAATGACTAGGACAGTTTAAAATAAACCTTAATTAAAGTAAGGGTGAAGTAAAAGCCCCGGAGGGCATCTCTCCTACAACCTCCTGGCGGGAGACTTGTGGACTTAGGGCTTGACAACCTCCTGGCAAAACAAAATCATAATATCGAAAACTTACGCCATTCTTAGGGTTTCTCTAATGATTAGCCCAAATGCTATGAGGTTTTCATCGTTTGAGTCGTCGTAAATACTCAGTCCTTCTGACAGTAACAACCAGTGCTGTGTATGTATACGTGAATTACTTCCAAAGCTAGTCCCGTTCGGAGCTGGAACAGATTGAAAAAGTTCAAAGCATGGCCAAAAACGCCCAATACCCAGCATTTTTATCAACTTAAGGGCTAATTGAATATATTCCTCATTTAAATAAGTTTAAAAATAATTTAAAGAGATGACGGTGAAGAACACGATTTTGGAGATGAGCACTTAAATGCACATAGAGAGTGGCTTAATTCTGACCAGAAGCGTCATATAAAAAGAATGAAACAAAAAGGGCATGAAGACCACGAAATACATGATAAAATAAATGAATTTCATGAGACTTCGCCTGAAGAAATTAAGGTGAGATTAAGTATAAAGTCAAAAACGAATCACCTCAAGTGAGCGAAATGAGGACAAAATTTTATTTTACGAAACAGAAACGAAAAATAAAACAAAAGAAAGCGAAATTTCGAACAATACACGAAATAACGAAAAATGTTCAAAACGAAATTTCGAATAAGATCCAAAAAGAAAAGTAAAACGAAGGTTCGAACAAAGCTGGGTATTTGCCATTTATTGGTTCCGGGCTTTAAAATCGTAGCTCCGGCTCCTGCCTCCGGGCTTTTAAAAACTTGGCTCCACAGGAGGCCATACCCAGCACTGGCATGAAACAAAAAATAATCGAAACGAAATTTTAACGAAACACGAAACAAAAAACACGAAACATAAAAACACTACGGCATTTCGAATTCATAAACTAATCACGTAAAAATCTAAAAATATACAAATATTCTTCAGATAACTGCAAAAGGAATTCTCAAACGAGGATGTGAGTCTGTATTTAAACGCTTATTTGGAGAATATATTGCTGAGGAAATTATCCAAGCTCGTGAACAGGGAGCTTCTAGGGCCGAACTTGACGAGAAAATAAACACAGCCTTAGGGCATATTAAAAATGCAAAAAAGAGGAAAGAGGCGACCCGTTTCGCTGCTACATGCCGTCGAATATTTACTATGGTGGGGGCTTAATTAATTTCTGAGTTAAACCCCAAAATTTGTTTAGATTGAACGACGTCGAAGAGATGCATTATCTACCCCAATTGAAGACTCACCATAATTTTTTAAAAGATTTTCTAGACAGAAATTCAAATCTTGCTCAAATTGTGTTACAAAAATAATTTTTTTATTGAATAAAATTTTCTTTAATAATTTTTCTTCATATTTTAATCTTGAAAACTAATAAGTGAGAGGGAGGGAATAACCGGAATGGGATGGTCATATGAAATAAACCTGTGATCTCCAAATCACAAGAGGTCCAAATCATATGAGATCACAGGTACAGATCATAAGTGTGATCTCGAGTGAACAAAAAAGAATTTTTAACTTAGGTGATCTTCAAATCACCCTATTCTCCGTTAATACTTCCAATTCCCTTATATATTCGCTTATATCACCCCTAATTCCTCCACATCCATCTTATTCCTCCAATATCATCTCCATATCAATAAGATTATTAAAAGATTTTTTCAAAACGGTTCCAGAAGTGGGACCGAAACCGATCAAATTTGGGAATTTCGCATCACTCCCCCGTTGTAAATGCAAAAAAAAATATTTAAAATAAATGATTAAAATAAAAAATTTAAGCAAATAAAAAAGATCAAAATTTAATTCTAGCAACATTTTAACATTTATTATCTGCTGATAAGCCTTCCAAATATAACATTAAAGGCTACATTTGGGCGCATGCTGTGGACAAAGTTGTCCATAGAATTTAGTATAAAATAGAAAGGCAGTTGATAATTTTTTGCAATTTTTTTTTCATTTTATAAATTAATTTTTTTAACCAAAAAATGTTATCAAAATGTTTGTAAATTATCATTTTTGTTTATTAATATTTTTTAATTTAATTGGAATATTGCTTTGTTCGAATGACTTTAACAGGTAGAACTTGAATATTTAATTTTGTAAAATTCCAAATTTAAAATGGATAGGATTATGATTGTTTCAAGATCCAGGTCGGAGGCAGTGATAGGGGAGGAGTTGTAAAATTTATGGCTCTTGTCCAGTTTAAGCGTCCAATCGCGCCTATCAGACTGCAGGTTTTAACACAGAACCGGGTACTTAAAAATTTGGTTGGACGTATGAAAATTTGTTTAGACGTATAAACTTTTTAACGGACGTATAAAGGACCGATTGGACGTTTACCTGGACAAGAGCCAAATTTTCCGGTTGGGTAAAACCATTTAAATAAAGGGAAAGTGTACTGTATAGGGTTGAGAGAAAAGTGAGAGGAGTTCGGGTCGGAGTTTTCAAAAAATTTTTCGAATGAGGGTTCGGGCCTATCTTTGCCTGACCCGGCTTTGCCTGACCTGATTTGGCCTATCTCTACTTTGTAAACATGAGTAGACCATATGAACGAGACGAGAGAAGTCTCTCAATTTATAGCTTTCTAACCCTCCCTACATTTGATTTAAGACCCAAAAAGGTGCGCGTTAGAATGATGATTAAAATAATTTTTATTTAGCGATGGACAAGGAGAAGTGTTAAAAGATACCAGAAGCTCTTTAATTGGAATTGATCAACAACTTTCAAGAAAGCGAAGATATAGCAGTGTTAATGGAGAAAATGAAGACGAATTTAAAAAACGAAAAATGAGAGAAAGTTTGGAAAGTATTCTTAAAATACATACATCTTGGTTAAATGAAAAACAGAAGGAAGAATTAAGAGAGGATTTGAAGAATGGAAAGACGTTGGATGGGGAAATATTTGAGAAAGTTTTACTATGGTTTAAAAGATTGGAATTTAGTGAACTGTTTGAGATAAAATACGAAATTAATAAAAGATGTGTGGGCTTTTCCACGGAGGTAAAGAAAATATCATAGCGCGGGACCAGGGATGGACACGCCGAATGTCCCATTACAAGGGATATCATCTTAAATCTAAATATATTAAAGTAAAGCATACAGGATTCAGATGACACATTAGATAGGCAGTTAACCATTAGCAATCAGCTAGTCAGGAGATTTCTGAGACGGTAGGTTAAGGAGACGGAAGACGGGAGGAGAAGGAATCAACATTCTCATAGAGGCCCGACATATGTTTACAGTATTCCAACAAGACCTAAGTTCGCTTGAAAAAATGTTCCGCATAGCCCTGATACCAATCAGGGATGAGCTAGATAGGGCAATCATATATTGGGTTTCGGATAACCCGGACCATTTTCGGAACCATTCTCGATTTTACAAATAACCCAAGTCCTCTTAATAAAATTATAATTTTAGAAAATAAGAGACGCTACCCAAGTTGTTGATATAAACCTAGTAAAACTAAACCTAGTTCTTTTCGAAGCCAACTGCTATAATTACGAAAGTGATCTTGGAAAACTAGCAGCAATCGTCAATGAAAAACAGAGAAGAAACGATTTTGTTACAGAATATTGTGATTTGAAAAAAAATAATTCAAGAATAAGGGATAAGCGGGAGAGTCAGATATATGCTAGAAATTCAAATAATCTACAAGATTATTTTACTTTATTAAACTTGAATTGGTTGGATGATAAGCAACGTGAACATCTTAAAAATATAATGTCTGAACGAACACGTGAAGAAATGCGAGATACGGTAACTTGACTATTTTTGTGAAATTAAGTATCAATTTATTGACAGTGAAGTGGTCAGGGCTCAAAATGATCAGATATGTATTCTGTTATGTGTCAAAGCATCTATGATGTATACAGAAGTGGGTCGGAATTTCGATTTCCGGCTTTAGCGTTTTTCCTTATGATTTCCGAAAAAAAATTTTGATTTCCGATTTCCGAGCTCCGTCATTTGAGACAGTTCCAATTTCCGGTTCTTGGATTTCCGAAACCTCTGATTGTTACGACCCACCTCTAGATGTATAGACAGTGGTATACGGATATCGAAACTTACAAACACTGGTATAGTCTAGTTAACCATTCCGAGCCCTGAGCAATTAAACTGAAGACAAGACATGAAAATTCACATATCAAAATGAAAAAACATATTCAAAAAAATTTTTATTTAAAGGTAGTAAACTGGTTTAATAATTTACATGCTGATGCAAAAGAGAGAGCTCGAAATCTTTTCAAAGGTGGATGTAATAAACTTTTAAAAATAAGACAGGAGGGATGTGGATATTTTGGCTCATTAGACACTCAAAAAATAAACGAGCTTAAAATGTACAATGACGTGACAACGTATAACAAAATAAATCAGTTAATTAATCCGATAGAAGAAAAAATGGAACACAGAAAAATTGCCAATGATTATAAACAGACTTGTAAGGAACTTTTTGGTATTGGAGAGGAAGAAGAAGAACGGAGAGGAAGACATAGAAGAACCCCAAAGAAACGGGGAAAAAATAACAACCGAAGAGATCCGAGTATTGGATGGGAAGGAGAGGATGAAGAACTAGGCAATGATTACAACACGAGGATTTTTAATGTTGAAGTAAACGATAATGGAGAAAATGGAAAGGAGTTAGTTTAAAATTTAGTTGATAAGGACAAGCTAAATAAATCTAGTCAAAAACGGGAATTGTACCTTCCTATTTGAGTGAATAATTGTGGATGCGCGCTCTCAGAGGCGCTGAGAGCGAGGGAGGTAAAATCGCCTGATAATAATGGTGGAAGTAACAAATTCCACTATTATATTCACGACAAACTCTCAAAATGACTTCTTTAGTTATTAGGTTGAAGAGAACCAGTGCTAATCAGAATCTGAGCAAAGACCTCCAAAAAATAAAAGTTAGTAAGTTGAGGGTCCTCTTAGAAGCCCTAGCCTATTTAGAGGCTAGATGGGGTGGGGGTTTTGGTAATCTTCTAGTTTACTGGTCCCGAGAAAAAAATTACGAAAAAGTGGTGTTTCGATATTTTTGAGGGTTACCGGTAGGTAATCGAGTGTGCTGAGTCCGAACATGAGCTTAAAATTTGTTTATCTCGAACCCCAAACCCGGATTCGACTAAGTGAATTAAGGGTAAAGACTTCGAAATTAAAAATTTAGGGCTAATCTGACACGACTATTCGAGTAGAATAGAATCGTATCAAAATTATGATGTTTCGACAACTTTGGACAAAGTTGTCATGAATTAAATAAACACTTGGTGAGAATTCCGTATACAAATCCGACACCATAACTTCGTCGAAAGTTGTCTAAACATCATAATTTTGATACCATTCGACTCGGCTCAAAGAGTTGAGTCAGATCAAACATAAATTTTGAAATTTCAAATTTTTGCCCCATATTCGACTTGGTCGAATCCGGGTTTGGGGTTCGAAATAAACAAATCTTAAGCTTAGATTCGGACTCAGCACACTCGATTACCTACTGGTAACCCTCAGAAATATCGAAACACTACTTCTTCCTAATTTTTTTCTCGGGACCAGTAAACTAGAAGATTACCGGGGTTTTAAATAAATAACCCTAAATAATCCCATTCATCCAAAGCATTCTTCTCTACCTTATCTTGTATTGCAGTATAGCTAATTTTTTCGTTTTAAGACTTAGATTCAACCCTTATTATTTATTTTCTCAATCTTTTTTTTTTCAATTTTTAGCAATAATAACAATGAATATATGGATGAAAATGATGACCTTGATCTTGGCCACGAACAGTTGAACGAACACAATAGCTGGCTGAATGCCAACCAGAAACGTAATTTAAAACGAATGCGTGATCAAGGCCATGAAAGTGTTGAGTTGCACGACCAAATACATAAATATTCCAAATCGACGACTAACAAGCAAGTTAAGGTGAAGAAATATTATTATTGTAAGGGGATACTAGAGACCGCACAGAGAAAGCCGTACGAGAATCGAAGTAAATTCGTCTCTCCCCGGTCTATAATAAATACTGTATTTTGAAGTAGGGTTGTTGGTTTCATCAAATTCTTCGGTTAACCTAACCGAGCCGATAAATTGAACCGAAATTTTCGGCTAATTTCATTTTTGTGTGTGACTCGATCTGAAACCAACGGCTCTATTTTAAGATGTACATAACATTTGAAAATCGAAAACTCCAAAGAATTCTCATTCATTAACTTTGGTATGGCACGGATTTGGTCAGAAAAATCAGAAAATTCCGAATACCGTACATCTTCTAATAGAAGCACAGTGTTTTTATTTTTCGATCTCTTGTAGGGTGTGCTTATATTGGAGACTGTCTTCTATTAGAGGTGAGCTTTTACTAGAAGATTTACGGTATCTTAATTATAATAGGGATAAAAACAATTACGATGATCAACTTAAATGTACTCGTAACAAAAAATTTTTCCCAAGGAATCTCATTAGAAATAGCAAAATTGTCCATTTCAAACCCTTACCATTCTCAAAATTTTTTTAATTTTTAGTTAGTTGCAAAAGCCATCTTAAGCAGAGGATGCAATCTAATTTTAAAAAGATTATTTGGAGAATATATTGCTGATGAAATTATTCAAGCAAAGGAAGAAGGGGCTTCAGATGAATTGGACAATAAAATTTACAATGCCTTGGGGCATATCCAAAATTTAAAGAAACGTCGAGAGGCGAGAAAATTTGTGGAGAGTTGTCGTAGTATATTTACAATGGTGGGGGTTTAAAAATAAAAATTTGAAAAAAAATTTTTTTGAATTTTAGATTGAGAACCCTTGAAGAGGGGAAAAATTAGAAGAAGATTTAAAAAGAAAAATTTTAGAAGAAAAAGAAATTTTACATTTTAATCATGTACAACAGGGATGGTCTTGATATTGATTTTAGCTATCCAGATCCCTTTTTACTCCTTAATAAAATCTGATGGGTGTTAATTTTTTAAAATATTTTCTTGCCAAAAATCCAAATCTACTCCAACTACCACATTCCTGAATTGCTCAAATTGTGTTGCAAAAAATAATTTTTTGATTGAATAAATTTATTCTTTAACAATTTTTTAAAACCGGAATGGGTGGGTATATGAGAATCGAAAAAAAAATTTAAAATCATTAAAATAAAAAAATTTTTAATTAAATAAATAGAAAAAAATATCAAAATTTGATTATAGCAACATTTTAACATTATCTGCTGTTAAGCCTTACAAATATTGTAAGGATGATTCACCTAGCAGCATTTAAAACGCTTAGGCGGGGGATAAACGATCTAAAAAGGAAAAAGAGAAAGCATTAGTCGATGCTTGAGACAATTATTAGTGATGGTCGGGATTCCCGGTCTCGGTTCCCGAGTCGGGAAATTTCCCGGGTTTTTTGAGCTCTCGGTCTCGGTCTCGGAGTTTTGGTCTCGGAAAACGAGACTAAATTTACACCCCTAATGACGGAAATTTTTTTAATTTTACTCGTAACCCTCGTACTTTGATATTTAATTTTTTAAGGAAAAGGGAAAGAAATATTTATATTTTCTCCCATTTTTCCTTTTGATGCTCGATGGTTGAGTGGTTAGTTGACTGACTTCAATCATTTTGTTATTATGTTAGGTTTGGGTTCGAATCCAGGGGGGTTGGATTTAGGCTGAAAAAAATTTTTCTTTTCAAAAATAAATGTCTTTTAGTTTAATTTTGATTTTAAATTTATTTTTTTTAATATTTTTACTTGAAAAGACATTAAAAATTTTAATTGAATCATGAATTTTTTAAAATTTTCGCATAAGGCGCCTAAATCCTCAGTATACATACTCACTTGCGGCGTATAAAATGGGAGAAATCTGGCTTCATGACCTCCAAAATTCTCAAAATTTTTGCCTGCGGCGCAAAAAATGAATGAAAATGGAGGATTTATGGCTTAAAGCCTTACAAAATACAAGAATTATCGTATACGGCCCTAAATATTAGGGGTATCAATGGATCTCCTAATCTCTTGGTCTCGACTCTTGGTCTCGACTTTCGGTCTCGACCCGGGACTCGGTCTCGGGGTTGATTCCCGGTCTCGGTCTCGGTTCCCGACTCTCGGCTTTTTTTAACTCCCGACCATCACTAACAATTATCCAGTGCAATTATTCAATCGAGATAAAAAATAATAATTTTTTTAATAAAATTTTTTAGATAAAAAATAAATATTTTTATAAAAAAAATAAATTTTTTTCAAATCGTAATAAAAAATAAATTTTGTCAATATTAATTTTAGGGTTGTACCCCGAACATTCGGGGGCGGGTATGTCGGGGTACGGGGTTTTCCAATTGTTTCGGGGCGGGGTTCGGGTCGGGGGAACAAAATATGACCGGGGTTCGGGTCGGGGTACGGGGTTTTAGGGAAAAAATTTTTAGAGAAAAAAATGCTCAAAAATAATCAGATCTCGGTATATTTTCGCTAATTTATTCAAAAATTAAGTAGGATTTGGAGAAATTAGAGGGAATTTGAAGGGATTAAAGTGTATAACTTGGGATATAAGTGGATATGGAGGGATTAAGCGGGATTTTTAGGGATTAAATAGTATATCTAGGGGTGCAAGGTGATCTGGTATGATTTTTGTTGTTTCAAGGGATATCAGTGATTAATAAGAATATTGAAGTATTGCGGATAAGGGTATTTGGACGGATATCAGGAGATATCTTGGATTAATCCTTAAATCTCCCACGAAATCCTTGTTAATTCCGTTAAATTCACGTAATTCTTTCAAATCCAGTTTAATCTAAACCTTATATCCCTTTAAATCCCTTTATAACTCCTTAATTCTTCGATATACTACAAATTCCTTTATATCTCTGATTCCCGTTAACAGGACCTCGATAGTTTTCCAACTGTTATGGTTGGGAACCCCTTACTGGTGATACAAGGGGTTTGAAGGATTAAGGGTCGTTCAAGGGATATCAGTTAAAAATAAAATTAATATTTTAAAATTAAAATTTAACTCGTTAATAATTTGTTTTTGTAAAGAAATATAAAAACAAAAGAGTTCTCCTTATATGGATCCGAACCCCATCCTATATTAATGGAAATATAGGCTAAAACCAACAACTAAGCCACTCAACCACAAGTCTCTTAATTAAGAATGAAAGAAAATTTTGATATTTCATTCATTTTTCTTTCAAAAATAATAAAGGCAAAGTAAATTGTGAGGAAATTTTTAAAATTTTTCTCTTAAAATTCTCACAAAATTGGCATTTTTTGGGTGTATAAAACCCCGATAACCCCGAAACTTTTATGGTCGGGGTACGGGGTTTTCGAAATGTTTCGGGGCGGGGTTCGGGTCGGGGAGAATCGTGAAAAAATCGTTCGGGAACGGGGTCGGGGTTCGGGGTACGGGGTCGGGGTACAACTCTAATTAATTTCCATTTTTATTTTAATTAAAAAATTTTTTTCTTAAACAAAACTACAATATTGAGATTTTGGTTAACTACAATTAGAGCTAGGAATTTTGAAAAAGCCGGGACCGGGAAACGGGAAATGAAAAATGGACCGGGCGGGAACCGGGACCAAGAATCCGGGGAAACCCATTACCGGTTTCATCCCGGTCAAAAATGACCGGGTCCCGGCCGGGAAACCGGGAGATTTATAATTTTTTGAAAATCAGAAATCACTTAGCTAGAAAGAAAATATAAGAATGTTTAAAACTAATGTTATTATGAGTTCTATTAAATTAATACACTCATTATTCCGATCTCTAATTACATGTACAGATTTTTTAAAACATTGATCTCGATGATTGAGGCAATGCCATATTTAGATGTTGTGTAGTAGTGTCACTATAGTATAAGAGCAAGTGAAAGTGGCAGACTCGTTTGATCATAATTGCGCGGCTAGTCACTGATCTCCTTCGTCTGTCCCTGCACAGTCCATTTTCATAAACATTGTACATTTCTATATAGGATAAACTTTATTCTTGTGTACATCATCAACGGAGACCCCTTGGACAAGAGAGACCCCACAACTGAGACCCCTCAATGAGGGAGTTGTCTTGATGTGAATTTATCCTCAGAACTGATAGTTTATCAGACCCTAAAATTTCTGATAATTTTCTCAAATTTTTTTAACACCCTTAACTAACTTCTCCAGAAATTTTAGAATTTTTCGTCAAATATTTTTAAAGTTATAGTCGATAGATCCCGAAAAATTAAGCTTTCCTTCCTTTCAACGAGGAATTTTCTTAGTATTTTGCTTGAACAATTAATTTATTTTTTATTTTAAAATATTTCCTTATTATTCTCCCTCAGGGCATTTTAAACACAAGAATATATTTTTTGTTTATTCAATAGCTGGTTGTATTTGACAACGTAATACTTGAATAATAGATCATATTTACAGCTTTGCGTAATTTCTCCCTTACAAATTTCTGTTTTTATATTAAAACTTTTTTTCAGATAATTAATTATATTTATGTGTACTTTATTTGCGAGAAAAAATAAGGAAGCAAAAATCAGAACTAAATCGCTAGTCAAAATCAGAAATCACATAGCTAGTATTATAAATTCAGAAAAATAAATTTAAAATATCAGAATTAAATATCAAAAGAATCAGAAATATCACAATTAAGAATCAAAATTATTATAATCATCAGAATTAGTAAGTAGAATTAAAAATCAGAATTGACATCAGAATTATAAATCAGAATTATAAATCAGAATTAATTATCAGAATTGATATTAGAATTCAAAATCAGAATCATTAAAATTATAAATCAGAATTACCAAAATTAAATTTCAGAATAGAATTAAAAATCAGAATTACACATCAGAATTAAATATCAGAAAATAAATCAGAAAATCAGAATTAGATATCAGAATTACATAACACATCAAACAGAATTAAAAATCAGAATTACACATCAGAATTGTTAGAATTATAAATCAGAATTACAAGAGTTAAATATCAGCATTAAAATCATAATTAAAAATCAGAATTAATAATCAGAATTAATTATCAGAATTATGTATTAAAATCATAAGTCAGAATTACCAGAATTAAATTTCAGAAAATAAATCAGAATTAGATATCAGAATTACATAACAAATCAAACAAAATTACACATCAGAATTAAATATCAGAATTAAATTTCCAAATCAATGTATCAATAAAAATCAGAATTTCTCTTTTCTGTTTTCCCTATTAAAAACAGTCAAACAAAGCTGAGAAATTAAAAATATTCTGAAAGGAAACAACGGGAGATTGTCAAAGAAATTAGAAATTCCAATAATTTTTTGTTATGTGATCTTTTTGGTTATTTTTGCAAAAAAAAGGAACAACAAGAACTTGAAACCTTTGGGATGATCAACGAAAAAAAATTGGCGGACTCGTCAGATTAATTAATTCTTTTTTAATATCTGACAGCTATAAAGACGTGTGCGCAGTTGCTATTTAACCAAGTTTTCGCAATAGAGGAGATTAAGCGGGTTGTGGATATGGAAGACGAGAAAAAGGAGAAGAGAAGGATGTGGAAGAAGGAAAATGGTATAACTGACCAACGTTCTCCCTTCACCCCCACGGTTCCTTTCCCTCTATGTTCCCTTCCCTCTACTATGTTCCCTACACCCTACTATGTTCCCTTCCCTCTACTATGTTCCCTACACCCTACTATCTTCCCTACACTCTACTACGTCCCCTTCACTCTACTATGTTCCCTTCCTTCTACTATGTTCCCTACACCCTACTACGTCCTCTCCACCCTACTACGTCCCCTCCACCCTTTTTTATTGTTCCTCTCCCTCTAGCGCTTTGCAACCAATTCATCTCCGAAACACAACTTTTCTTGCCCGCAAAGGCTTCATCTCTCTCCTCGGACACCAGTCGGCTTTTCTTCTTGTTTTTACTCATTTGTGCAAGAATAAAGGAAAATTGCCCATTTGTGAATAAATTTTATTCCTTTATTTCTGGCTCATCTCCTTAAAAAAGCTCCACCTCTTTATCATTTATTGCCCATCCAAAAATATCAAAAACAGTTTTATTTATTGCTCAAAGATAAGCTAACATAAAAGAGAGGAACAAAAGTTGCGCCAGACTTTTAGCAGTCACAAATCAAAGAATTATTTTTTATCAAATTAGCTGTTTATGTGATAATTTAAAAATTGTCTAGTAAGTTGAAGTTGCTAACAATATAAAGCCAAAAAGTTGCAAATAAAAACTACACTTGTCGGCAGGCAACTTACTAACAGTTATTGCTAGATTAGCTTAGCTAACTTACCGGTACAGGTGTTATACTTACTGAGCTACTTTTTTTCTTTGATAAATCTTCCATACCTTGGGAGATGGAAGACGAGAGATTATGGAATTTATATGGTCCTTCAACCCATGGCTCCTTTCCCTATGTTCCTTACAATCTATTAAATCCCCTTCCTTGAAGTATTCATTCCACCTTTTGTTCCATTCCTGCAAGAAGCTTAGTTAACTACCGCTAAAGTGGCTCTACTAACTGAGCTACTTGGAGCTTAATTTTTATAGAGTTGTCAACTCATTCTAAAATTATTTGAAAGTTGTGAGGCAACTCAATCTGTTAATCTTTCCCAACTATATTTAATGTTATTAATCAAATACTCAACAACAATGCCTTCTCGGCATCAACGGAAAGCTTGGACAATGGTCTTATTATTGTTGGCTCTCCCTTTTAATAATGCCTTTTTGTTTGGAAGTTTAGGCGGTGGAGGTGGTGGTGGTGGAAGTTGTAATTCTTGGTTTGCTCCTTTATTCAAAAATTAATAAAAAAAAATTTTCAAGTTGTGCACCACCCCCACCCCCACCTGTTTGTGCACCACCACCATCTTGTGGTTGTGGTGGCGGTGGTGGTGGAGGAGGCGGCGGTGGAGGTTCAAGAGGTTAATTTATAATTAACAGTCACATTTTAGTGATAATTTAGGTCCAATAATTGTTAACTGTGGTGGTGGTAATGAAATTGGAGCAGTCGGAGGAGGAGGAGGCTATGGTGGTGGTGGAAGAGGCGAAGGAGGAGGCGATGGAGGAGGAGGATGTGGAGGCGGTGGAGGAGGATGTGGAGGCGGTGGAGGAGGATGTGGAGGCGGTGGAGGAGGATGTGGAGGAGGATGTGGAGGCGGTGGAGGAGGATGTGGAGGCGGTGGAGGAGGATGTGGAGGCGGTGGAGGTGGATGTGGAGGTGGCGGTGGAGGAGGATGTGGAGGCGGTGGAGGAGGATGTGGAGGCGGTGGAGGAGGATGTGGAGGCGGTGGAGGTGGATGTGGAGGTGGCGGTGGAGGAGGATGTGGAGGCGGTGGAGGAGGATGTGGAGGCGGTGGAGGAGGATGTGGAGGCGGCGGTGGATGTGGAGGAGGAGGTGGTGGTGGATGCGGAAGCAGTGGAGGTTCTAGTATCGATCTTCAACTTGGATGCAGCAGTGGAGGAGGCAGTGAAGGAGGTTGCGGCGGTGGAGGAGGCGGTGGTTGCGGAGGAGGCGGTGGTTGCGGAGGTGGATGTAGCAGTGGAGGCGGAGGAGGTGGAGGTTGCGGAGGCGGATGCAGCAGTGGAGGTGGAGGAGGAGGTTGTGGCGGTGGAGGAGGTGGTGGTTGCGAAGGCGGATGCAGCAGTGGAGGTGGAGGAGGAGGCGGTGGTTGTGGAGGCGGATGCAGTAGTGGAGGTGGAGGAGGAGGATGTGGAGGCGGGTGTAGCAGTGGAGGCGGAGGGGGCGGTGGTTGCGAAAGTGGATGTAGTGGTGGAGGCGGTGGAGGTTGCAGCGGAGGTGGAGGTGGCGGTTGCGCAAGTGGATGCAGCGGAGGAGGCGGTGGATGCAGCAGTGGAGGAGGAGGTGGAGGTTGTGAAAGCGGTGGATGTTCAGGTTTCTGTAATTTATTGAGACCTGCTTTATCTCTTATATTCTTAAGCTGTTGCTCCAAGTGGTGGCGGCTGCTCGGGTGGTGGAGGAGGTGGCTGTGAAGGTGGTGCTTCTAGTGGTGGAGGTCAATATGCTGCAGTTAGTTATCATTTGAAAGGAAAAATTATACCATTATTTAGCCTCAAGTTAGTGCTGGTGGTGGTGGAGGCGGTGGTTGTGGAGGCGGTTGCAGCAGTGGCGGAGGAGGAGGTGGAGGATGTAGTAGTGGAGGCGGAGGAGGTGGAGGATGTAGCAGTGGAGGTTGCAGCAGTGGTGGTGGCGGTGGAGGAGGAGGAGGAGGTCGCTTTCAATTCTAACCGTAGTTATTTATTTTATCAGGTTGCGGTGGCAGCCCTCCAAGCGGCGGCTCCTATCAAGTATCCGGAGGTGATGGAGGTCATTCAGTGCAAGCTAGCGGTGGTTACCAACAACCAGAACAACCTCCTCATGCCCAGCCTGAACCTTTGCCCTATGCGCCACAACCCCAGCATGAGACGTATAATCAGGGTGAGGCATTCATCATTAAAATAATCTCAAACCTCTCGAGCCAAAACCTTCGGATTCCTCCCCCCCCCCCCCCCACAAAGCAGCTTTTCTATTCAGAAATGTGCACCAAAATTTTTGCATGTGGCGCCAAACGCCAATTTTCATGTTTTTAAAACTCGCCAAAATCAAGACTCTAAAAAAATCGAGTACAAATTAACGCCAAACACCTTGGCGCACAGTCCTGCTTCTTGTACTTACTCTCATTAGGACCAGGGATGAGCCTGATAGAGAGAAAGCTCACAAAGGTTGATCTTTGGTCTTCCGTTGCGTTTTTTTAATTAGACTTGCTTCTATCCCTCTCGTGGATATCGCCCATTCCCCCCAAGACAATTCATCCCAAAATCCCCTCCAAACATTTATCCTTCCCCATTAACACATTCAAGTTGCAGTAAATCGCCGCGTAATTGCGCGGCTTTCGCATAACCAACAACAATCAAAAACACACTGCGGGGAACTAGAAATGACTAAAAAAGATGCGAAATTTTCAAAGAAAACAAATAAAAAAATTTTTTCTCGTTTTCTCCCTTTTTTTAGTTCCTTTTCTTTTCTCTAAAAAGGGGGAAGAAGATTCCTACTCTCCAAAAAATTTTTTTTGAGATCTTCAAAAGATGGCGTTTATCGCTGAATATCCCTTTCTCTCTCTCTCTTTTGCTCATCCTCCTTTCCTTTTTTAATAATTCCCCCTAAAGAGAAAAAAATTTTTTCAGAGAGAAAACGAGTATAATAATATTTATTTTATTATTTTATTGCCGCGCGATAAGAATAATTTTCTTGGGGGAAAACATGTTGGAGTGTGTCATCTTCCCTTTCTGCTAATTTTACTAACGATTATCGCTTTCTTTTTTGATCTCTTTCCCTTTGATCTCTTTCATTGTCTTCTATTTTTTATTTTTTTTTCATAATCAGCGTTCTTATTGGAGACAGGATTTGACACTACTAATTTCTAGAGATTTAAGCTAAATATCTCTAAAAACCTTTATCTCTGTTTTTGATCGAATCTCGCTTCTACAGATCACTTTCTTCATTTCAGCTTTGCTCTAGCTCTCTTCCTCCTTCTTACTTGTCTAACCCTTCCACCGGAAACGGTTTAATGGAACACCCAAAAAAATTTCAATTGGATTATAGGGATTGGATGGATATAATTTAAATAATGCACGTAAGGTGTGCAATTAAAAGGGACAATTTAGAGAGGATATAATTGAATTCATAGAAGGAAAAATAAATTTTTAAAATTAATTAATTTCCCCTTTTAGCCCCTCAAGAAGTTCCAAGTGCGCACCAAGAAGTTCAACAACCTGCTGCAGTTGAAGAAACGCCCCAACAACCACCAGCACCTCCCCCTGCTGGAGGCTATGAAAGTGGGGGAAGCAGTGGTGCTGGAGCGGCGGCAGCTAATAATGATTATCAACATGAAACGGAAGCTCCGGCTGCGGCACCGGCAGCGGAGTCGTCTGAGGGTAAAGAAGGAAAATATATGTAGCTATGAGATATACCTAGCTATGAGCTATCATTTTGGGGCTGAAAATTTATACCTTATAATTAGGTGAGGGGAAAGAATGATTAATTGAAGGATCATTTAGGCAATTTTTTCTCCCATCCCCAATGAACAACCACATTTTTAGAAAACGTATCTTAAATAGAGGTGAATTTATTGAATGTCTTATGGTGTGGACCGACAATACTGTAGTATCTCAATTTTACATGCTTCCAAGCTTACATTTAACCTCAATTTAAGATAGTATGCTTTTTTAATCTCGTTAGGCATTGGAATGGAGAGCTTCACGAGAAAACTCTCTATTTAAGATACTCCTCATTAGTAGATACGATTTTTCCAGCCTTAAGGGAGTATCATATAGAAAGGTTCAACTGTACTAGGGAATATTAACTGTTGGGGAAAGAAAAAAAGGGTTATCAAAATTTCTAAACTATATTCCATTAGAAGAAGCCGAAACTCCTGCTCCTGAAGCACCAGCCGCACCGAGTTATAACGCGGCTGAAGCATCATCTGCTGAACAAACTGCACCGGCCGAACAGCCTGCAGCCGAGGGTAAATATTTTTTGGTAGTTTTAACATTTTGCTTCAATTTCAAGAACATGCCGCTTCAGAAGAAGCAGCTCCAAGCTACAATAATAATGCTGTTTCTGCTCCAGCTGCAGCTCCAGCAGCGCCCGAGCCGGCCCCAGCTGGTTTGTTTTAGAGAGTAATCTCCTCATAATCCTTTTCTTCAGCTTCTGAACCTGCAGCCCCAGCAGCAGCTCCAGCTCCAAGTTACGGTGGCGGAGACACAGCAGCGGCCACAGCTCCTGCTGCTCCGGAAGCGCCGGAACCTGCAGCGCCACAGCCTGCTGCCGCACCTAGCTATAATGCTGGTAAGTTTACTTTCTTGTTTTCTTGAATCATCCTAAACGACATTTCTTTTCAGCTGCAGAATCCTCTCCTGCAGCACCGGCTCCAGCACCCGCAGAAGTAGCTGCTCCAGCACCTGCAGCACCAGCTCCCTCATACGGTGGATTTGGGGTTTTAATAAACCCTAGATTTTAAAATTTTGTCCGCAAAAGTTGTCCGCATGTTTTTTGCGGACAACATTTTAGCCCAAACTAAAAAAATTTTATGACACCTTCTCTAATATTGTTTGCGTATAACCATAAAAAGGGAATTTTCAGGAAGTCCAAATTACAATGTCAAATTCACAATCATGGAAATTCCCGGTGAATTTTGGAAAATATTCTAATTAAATTTTATGGGTCCCTCAATTAAATAGCCAAAAATAATTTAAAAAAATTAATTTTTTAAAAAGGCGCCCAACAGCCAGCCCCCTCGGTTCCCGAAGCAGAAGTTCAAAAAGGAGGTTATTTCAGACGACGTTCCCGGCAAAATAATAATGAAAATGCACAATTTGCTGCTAAAACTGTGAATGTTGATTCAAAATGCAATAATGAGGAGTTGAGAAAGATTATGGATAAGGTGAATAATTTTTGAAAATTTGTATTTTGATAGACTGATAAGATAAGTTAATAATTTTTAAAAACGAAAAAATATTTTGTCCGCAAATATTGTCCGCAAAAATATTTTTGTCCGCAAAAATTTTTTGCGGACAAAAAATTTTTTCTGCAATTCTCTTCGTAAAGAAATATTTAGTCTGCAAATTAAATCCGCAAAATAAATTTTCATCCGCAACATTCTTTTATTTTTTATATTTTCTCCCTAAAATTTAAAATTTTCCTTTTTAGAGCATCGCAGAAAGCACGGCCACATCAAAAAGGGCAATAGCCAAAAATGCTCGAGAACATTTTGGTTCTTCATTTGACGTTGTCTGCAGTACAGGCAATTATTTTTAAAAATATTTTTAAAAATCAGAAATCAAAAAATCCCCTCTTTTAGCTGATTTCTCCTATTTGGCCAACACGAGAATATTTTGCGAGCACAAAGTAACAGATATCACATGTTTTGCTTTTGAGCATTAGGAAGTGATAGACTGACGAAAATTTAAATAATATATATTTTAGTGTATTTATGCAATATTAAAAAACAACAAAAAATTTCATTTGCTTCATTAAAAAATTTGCGAATAAAAAATTTTGTACGCAAAACATTTGCGGACTAAAAATTATGTCCGCAAAAAACTTGCGGATAAATATTTGTCCGCAAATTTTTTGCGGATTAAATTTTGTCCGCAAAAAATTTGCGGACAAAAATTTGTCCGCAAAATTTGTCCGCAAAAAATTTTGTCCGCAAAATTCTATAATAGAAGCAAGAAGTTTTTTGTTAGCAATGTTTATTGTTTTACTTTGCCTTCTTTTTACTTGCCCTATAATTTACTGTTAATTTAAAATTAAATTTTTATATTAAAAAATCCCTTAATCCAATTCTTCAAATAATTAAATATGTGCAATAATAAAATACACATGTATTTGCTTGTATTTAAAAATTATAGTTTTGTTAATAAAAAGATTTATAGAAAGACTTTTATTTATTTAATATGGTCAGATTTTTAATTAACGAGAAAATGAAAAATTTTAAACCCGGGATGCCCTTACACGTAAAGGATCTTAAATATTCCGAGAATATGTATTCCAATAGAATCCCATCCATCCAGTGCTGGGTGGGAGTTGGCTCCGGAGCCAGAGCTGGTATTTTGAAAACCCCGGAGCCTGAACCAAGGTTTGAAAAAGGACGGAGTCGGAGCAAATAAATACCCAATACTGATCTCATCCTCAATATTAGAAGTCCACACCCCGTTAGAAACCCACTCAATGAGACACATGAAAAATAAAAGTAGAAAACTTCTAAATAAAGGCACAGTCCATATTTGGGGTATGTAAAAAAAACTAAGGATCAGTAAGAGTCAGAATTTAATAAGTTTAGATTCAATTTGAGATATACATACACCTAAGCTCTAGAAAAAATTTAGTGGACGGTAGGCCATGGATATAGACTTGAGAACAATTGACTATGCCACCATTAAATGATGGATTTTTAAATTTATTTATGTTCTTTCTGCAAGTGCGGACACAACAGACCACAAGGCTCTAATTAATATAAAAAATCAACATTGCAAGTCAATATAAATTATTTTTTAATTATCAAAAAAAATTCCAGAAACAGAAAAAAGGGGTCAAAATAACCATATATTAAATATCAAGAGGTACAAAAAAATTCATTTTTTAAAATTTCTTTTACAAAAAATAGGGTACAGTAACACGTTCAGGTCGTTTCCTTTCTGATTCTTCTA